CTCCCCATGGGGCCACGAAGCGCTGTCCTGGGTCGGACGTCCGAACGCTAGTGCAGCCACCGGAGCCTTCGGTGGAGCCCATATATGGGGCCACGTAGCGCTGTCCTGGGTGGTGGAACCGCATGTGAATGCAGCCACCAGGGCCTTCGGTGGGGCTCCCCATGGGGCCACGACGTGCGGTCGTGGGCGGGGGCGCGCCTGCGGATGCAGCCACCGGTGGAGCTCCCGACGGGGCCACGAAATACGATCCTGGGCGGAGGGGATCGCATGCGAGTGCAGCTGCTCGGGCTCTAGGTGGAACTCCTTTTCGGGCTACGAAGCGCCGGCTTGCCCAGGCTACTGCAGCCGTTGGGGCTCTCGGTAGAAACCCCTATGGCGCCGCGAAACGCAGTACTAGGTGGGGGAGCCGCAAACGAGTGCAACCACTGGGGTCTTCGGCGGAGCTCCCTACAGAGCCACGAAACGTTGTCCTGTGTGCGGGAGACGCACGGTGGAAAAGGGAGGACGGAGAAGGGGGCGAGGAGGTGAGGAGGAAGGAGCGCGGGGCACTATCTTCGAAACGAGGACCTCACACCACAAAATGGTTGAGAGAGGCGACGCCGGCGAAAAACAAATTGGGGGATGGCCCCCAGAACCGCTCCCAAACTCGGGCATTCCGAAAACATCCGCCCCTTGACCCAGGGCAAAGAAGATATTGATCCCGCCTGTCTCGTTCCAAAGCGCACAATCGCAATGGCGTGTCCAGACATAGAAACAGAAACGCCGATAAACATGCGCCCAAGCCCCAACCGCTTCAGTCACACACGAAACCAACCCAGAGCGACATCACTGCGTTTTCAAACTGCCGCATGGGCGAAACCTATGGGGAAAATTTCACATGCGCAGGCCGCCTTCCGAGAAACAAAAAGACGATCTCGCGCCAGCAAGCGCGCTCAACTTTCGCACCCCCCCCGTTGACGCCACCCCCAAGTGGAGCTGAAGGAAGGGAGGGTCTGGCGAGCTTTGCAAGGATGCAGGGGTTGCCCCGTGGCTGCTAGTCGAGGCGCCCGTCCGCGTCGAGTCGCTGGCAGGGGAGGGAGGGCGAATGGCGGCGTGAGGGCTCCGCGAAACCAGCTGAAGGATGGCTTCGTTGTCCCGCTCGTCCTGGGAAAGCTGACGGGTGGGCGCAATAGAACTTCCCAATGCCGTCTGGAGGGTGGCTTCACTGTCGGGTAGGCCGTCGGGTTGGCCGTCGGGCTGGCCGAGGAGCTGGCCGTAAAATTGGGCGTCGGGCAAGGCCTCAGGTAAAGTGTTGGGTCGGGCGTCAGGTTGGGCGTCGGGGGCGGCGCCCCCTTCCCCCTGCGACTCGCGACAATCTTCATGCTCTTCCCAGTGGAAGCGACTGACCGCCGCAGAGGCGATTGGAATCCGAGGCGGCCGGGTGTTCCCAGGGGTCGTGTCGCCACTGGGTTGTGTTGGACGGTCGGCAAAGTCCTGTCTGTCTCTTCCCCTCCCCTTCCCCTGCGGCTCGCGACCCATCTCGCATTCTTCCCGGTGGCGGCGACTGACTATCGCAGAATCCCTTGTTACCCGAAGCGGCTGGGCGTTCCCAGGGGTCGTGTTGCCAGTGGGTTGTGTTGGGCGGTCGGCAGGGTCCTGTCTGTTTGTTTCCCTGCCCCTTCTCCTGCGGCTCGCGACCCATTTCGCGCGCTTCCCGGCGGCGGCGACTGACTATCGCAGAATCCTTTGGAATCCGAAGCGGCTGGATGTTCCCAGGGGTCGTGTTGCCAGTGGTTTGTGTTGGACGGTCAGCAAAGTTCTCTCTGTCATCTCCCTGCCCCTCACCCTGCGACTCGCGACCCTCTTCACGCTCTTCCCGGTGGAAGCGACTGACCGTCGCAGAGGCGATTGGAATCCGAGGCGGCTAAATGTTCCCAGGGGTCGCGTCGCCAGTGGGTTGTGTTGGCCGGTCGGCAAGGTCCTGTCTGTTTTTTCCCTGCCCCTTCTCCTGCGGCTCGCGACCCCTTTCGCATTCTTCCCGGTGGCGGCGACTGACAATCGCAGAACCCCTTGGAATCCGAGGCGGATGGGTGTTCCCAGGGGTCGTGTTGCCAGGGGGTTGCGTTGGACGGTCGGCAAAGTCCTGTCTGTCATTTCCACGCCCCTTCTCCTGCGGCTCGCGACCCATTTCGCACACTCCCCGGTGGCGGCGACTGACTATCGCAGAATCCTTTGGAATCCGAAGCGGCTGGGTGTTCCCAGGTGTCGTGTTGCCAGTGGGTTGTGTTGGACGGCCAGCAAGGTTCTCTCTGTCATCTCCCTGCCCCTCACCCTGCGAATCGCGACTATCTTCACACTTTTCCCGGTGGAAGCGACTGACCGTCGCAGAGGCGATTGGAATCCGAGGCGGCTGGGAAATCCCAAAAGACGTGTTGCCAGTGGGTTGTGTTGGCCGGTCGGCAAGGTCCTATCTGTCTTTTCCACGCCCCTTCTCCTGCGGCTCGCGACCCAGTTCGCAATCTTCCCGGTGTAGGTGAACGGCCATCGCAGAGCCCCTTGGAATCCGAAACGGCTGGGCGTTCCCAGGGGTCGCGTCGCCAATGGGTTGTGTTGGACGATCGGCAAAGTCCTCTCCGTCTTCTCCCTGCCCCTTCCTGCGACTCGCGACTATCATTACATTCTTCCCCGTGGCGGCGACTGACCGTCGCAGCGTCCGTTGGAATCCGAGGCGAGTGGTTGAGCCAAAAGGTCGCGTTGCCAATGGGTTGCGTGGCACGGTCGGCAAGGTCCTCGCTGACGGTTTCCTGCTCCTCCTAAGGCGATTCGCGACTATCTCCGCGTTCATCCCGGTGGAGGCGACTCATTTCGCAATCTTCCCAGCGTAGGCGACTAACCGTCGCGTCTCGAGGAACCATGGGCAGGGAGGGAGGAGAAAAGTCAATATCAAGGGAAACGCCCTGCGCAGGCGGGGCGCCAGCCCACCCGTCGGCGCGCTGGGTCTGCGTCGTGGTCATGCCACCGGGCAGCTTTGTTGGACAGCCGCGCAAGCCAGGCGGTTCCTGAGGAGTGTCGACAAGAGGACGGCCGTCAGGCTGACAGTCGGGCTGGCCGCGGGGCTGGCCGTCGGGCTGGCCGTCGGGCTGGCAGTGGGACTGGCAGTCGGGCTTACCGTGGGGCTGACTGCCGGGCAACTCGCGGGGCTGGCCGTCGGGCTTGACGCGGGGCTGGCCTTCAGTTCGGCAATCGGGCTGGCCGCGGGGCTGGCCGTGGGGTTGGCAATTGGGCTGGCAATCGGGCTGGCCGCAGGGCTGGCAGCCCAGCGCCAGGCCGGTCGGCCCGCCCGGCACCGTCGCCGCAGCGGCGGCGGCGGCCGCCGCGCGGGAGAGGGCGGCCGCCGCGGCCAGGCGCCCGGCGCCAGCGCGCGCGGCGGCGCCCGCGCGGTCACTGGCGCGCGCGGCGCCGGCGGCGCCAGCGGCGCCCGCGGCGGCCGGAGCACGCGCCGCGCCAGCAGCAGCAGCAGCAGCAGCGGCGCCAGCAGCACCAGAGGCGCCCGCGGCCGCCGCAGCGCCGGCGGCGGCCACGGCACCGGCGGCACCGGCGGCGACCGCGGCGCCAGCGGCCGCGGCCACGGCCACGGCGCCCGCGGCGCCGGCGGCCGCGGCGGCCCACGCGTCGGCGACCGCGGCAGCGGCCACGGCGGAAGCCGCGGCGGGCCCGCCCTGCGCCGAGGCCCGCGGCAGACCGCGCGCGGCCGCGGCGCCGGCAGCAGAGGGGCCGGCGGCGCGAGCGGCGGCCGCGGCCCTCTGCCGGCGGCGCCGAGCGGCCGGCGTCTCCATCGCGCGCGGGCCCGAGCGCGCGCCAATCTGAATCAGGGGCGGGCTCGAGCCGACATGGCTTGAGCCAAAGGCTACGGATGTCGTGGGGTTACTTTTTTGATCTGCGGCCCGCAAGGAAGAGTCCAGAGGGCGTGTCAATGTCGTGGGGTTACGCGAAGCGTCTAGAATTGGAGGCCTCTCCAAATTCTCCGTGTTTCATTCGTACCCTCCTTCCTCCTCCGGAAACGCACCGAACTACGACTCGAGCGGGGGTGTAGGGGACCATGGCATTCGGATAAAGGAGACGATAGAGACGACGGAAGGCAGCAACATGCTTTATGGACTCGCATGGTGGCACAGTGCCACTACGGCGGGCCCCGAATGAGCCGAAGCCCTCTTTAGTTGCGAGGCCACCTTGGAGATCCCTTGAGCCGTCATGGACTGCAAAGCCCGAGATAGCGAGAACGCTGACATCCTTTACCATGGGCCGAAGATCGCAGATATTTCGATTCGTGACCCCTCCCAGTGGCCTTCGGCCCGTCCCGCCACCGCGCATGCGTTGTGGATTAGAAGCATCTTGGATGCCCGCTCGGGTCTCTTGGGAAGCCTCTGGGGAGCCTCTTGAAGGCAGTTTTGAAGCGTCTTGGGGCCTCTTTTGGGCGTCCTGGGGGCATCTTGTAGTCTCATGAGGGCCTCTTTGGGGCCTGCTGGGGGTCTTGGGGATACTCTTGGGGCGGAGGGCTCGAACTGTCAGTTCGAGTTCCCCCTCTTTGGCCCCTCTTGGGGCCCGCTTGGGTTTTTTTTGGGCCGTCTTGGGCTCCGCTTGGTCCATCTTGAGGTTTTCTTTGGCCGTCTTAACGCTCTCCTGGTGACCTCTTGGACCGTCTTGGGGCGATCGTGTGGGCCTGTCGGGCCGTCTTGACCGCTGTGAAGACCAACAAAGAACAAATATGCTAGAAATGTACGCTTCCCGATGGGATTGTAACGATGTTTGCTTCTTGAGGCCTTCTTGGGGGTATCGTGTGCCGTCTTGAGGCTGGAGCAATCTGAAAGCCGTCTGGGGCCGTCCGCAGGCCGAACTGGAACTTCAGGAGCCTCCTGGGAGAGCCACGGGGAGGCCCCAGGGACGCTCCGGGAGCGGAGGGAGCGCCGAATGTTATCTGGGTGCCCCTGGTGGTCTTCGGCCTCGGGGCCCCATATGAGAGATGGCCACCATTGAACGTCCGCGAATTTGGATGGGTGCGGATAGCTGATGACGTGTCGCGACCACTGGTCACGGCCAAATGCTCACACTGTCACTGAGTGTGGAGAACTGCACAGTTGTTGCTTTTGTTGAGCGGCCCAGTGTCAGAGCATGAGCGGGGACATTCGGCACCTAACTAGACGACCGCACTCCAACGCTAACAGCTCTGGATGCAACTCGCGCAACAATGATCTTGCAGCATGGCCCTGGCGCTACAAGAGATTAACTACCCTGGCGTTTATCACTCTTTACCCGTGAGCACGGCGTCAAGAGACGTGGTGCCCTCGACATATGCGCCAAAGGCATCCCGCGTGTTTGCCCTCGAATGCACCCCTTCGACAAAAGAGTTACCCGTCTTTAGCTCATCCTCTGTGACCTCCATGATCTTGTTCATGTGGTTTCTCAACTCCCGGGCAACCCAAACCGTCATCACCCGCCTGATGGCGGAGTCGACCATATCGAATCCACCGTGCTTACATATCAAAGCCTTAACCTTCTCCTCGTCGGCCTTCTCCGTAGCCCTTGCGCTCGTGGAAGACACGTTGGCCATAGAGTCCCGGACCCTCTGGATGCCGATCCTGCCCTGCTCAAACTCCCGGATCAGCGACCTGGCAGACTCCTCGGGCATGACGATCTCTACGTCTACGTTCAGCTTCGAGGCTGTGAACTGCTCGAAGATGGTCCAAATCCGTGTCAGGTACAAGGGTCGGTCAAAGGTGTCCAGCAGGGCGACAACCCTTCCGATACCCCTCAGCTTGGCCTCGAAGGTGTGCTCCAGGTTGTCGCTTCCCTTGGCGTCGCACCCCTTGCTGGTGGTGGTCGGAGCGAATATGCGATATTGATTATTGACGAAAAAACACATGAAGAAGGACACCTTCGAAACGTCTCCATGGTCGCTGTGCATGGCCCACCGCTGCAGGCAGTCGCGCACCGTGCTCAGCTTGTATGCCCACGTCCACGACAGGAAGTGCGTGCACTTGCCACGGTACTTGCAGGGCAGTGTGTCCACGAGCGCGCACCCCATCATCCCATCCCGCGGGCAGATTGCGTCCCTGCCAATCGGGTTCGGGCCAAGAAAAAACGCCTCCTTCAGGTCGTAAAACGTAGGGTCGGGCTTGCTCGAAGCCCGCAAGGCCAGGGCCTGGAGCTCGCCCGAGAGCAGGTAAGAGAGGCACACGCCCCTCTCGTGGCTCTGCTGCCGGCGTATCTCGCGCTCCATCCGCACCAGCTCCTCCCTCGAAAGCTTCATATCCTCCTGCAAGATCTGCATGGCCTGTGCGATGCCGGCGCGGTCCTCGTTCTCGACGGCGTCGGCCAAGGCCTCTTTGTGTTTCTCTAGGTCTCGCTGCTCCTGCCACCGGCGCTCCCGCTCGAGGGCCTCCATATCCCTTTCCCTGTAATCTTGGGCCTCCTCTCGGAGCCTCCGCAGACTCATGAAATTCATCCTGTCCGTATATTCGTTGTTCTCCTTCGTCCTGAGCAGAACCGCCACGTACACGCCCATCAATTCGCCGGCCCAAGGGACAAAGGCGTTCTTGAACCTCCGGTAAGAGGTGTACATGATATCTTCTTCGCGCGCGCTGGGCGGTCCCTAAATAAGAGGTCCCTGGACGAGAAGTACCCTGGCCTACTCCCGCCACGGATGCCAGAACTCCCTGGGGCGGTCTTCTGGCCCTCAAGATCTCCCCAGGAACGCCACAAAGAAACCCAAGTGAGCTCCAAGAGGGGCCCAGAACCGGGAGGAATTGGTGGGAGGCCTCAGGACGGCCCCAACCCAAAACGGCCCAAGAGGGCCTCAATTTCAGCACAAGGCAACCCAAAAGGCTCCCAGAACGGCCCCAACATGGCGCAAGAAGGCCTCAAGACGTCACAATAGGACCCCTGAGAGGGCTCCAAAGGCTCCCAAGAAGTTCCAAAAACGGAAATCCGAATTCACAGACCGGGCCCCCAAGACTCCCCCAAGAGGCCCATCGAAACTCCAAAAAATGCCCCCGCAAGTACGCAGGCAAGTGGCAACGATGCTGCAATATGGGCCGGCGGAAACAACGAGCGATTGAATAACAGACACATCACCACGTCAGACCTTTTCTCTGGGCTCATGCCAGGAATCAGGCCGCTGAAACAAACGAAGATCATAGACTTAAGCACGCAGTGCCAGCGCGCAGCTCTGTATCTGATGAACTGGGCGGGCAAGTAGAGCATTGTGAAGACGAAATCCGCCGGCCCCCTTGTGGGGCCACCAAGCTGTAGGACCAGGATTTGCTGTTCCCTGCACCAGTTCCACATTCCAGTGTCCACTGTTACCGTTCTGCTTCGTGCAGCTTACTGTTCCTTGTCGATGGACCACGCGAGGGGGGGGGAGCCGAAAAGCGTCCGGATTACCACTCCCGAGTCGCGTTGCCTTAATTCCTGGGGGGGGCGTGGCCACATAAAAATACATGATATTCGCGCCCCCGAGGCCATAAACCCTTGTAAATTATATAAGATTCGCGTCCCCGTGGCCATAAACCCTCGCGAATTACACAATTTTCGTGTCCCCGAAGGCATAATCCTCACGACATGCGCGATATTCGTGTTCCCGAAGCCGTAAAACCTCGCAACTTACGCGATACTTGCGTCCCCGAGGCCACAAACGCTTGTGAATCACGCGATATTCGCGTCCCCGAAGCCGTAAACCTGCGTGAATTACAAGAGTCGCGTCTCCAAAGCCATGACACATTATTTGCGCCCCCGAAGCCATACACCTTCATAAATTATAGAATAATCGCGGGTCCGAAGCCATACACCCTCGAAATTCACACAATATTCGCGGTTCCGAAGCCATAAGCCCTCGTAGTTTTCGCGCGATTCGCGTATCCGAAAGCATCCTCTTTCAATAGCATATAGTACGACAACAGGTGGGGGTCGTATCACTGCCCCACCTACGATCCCCCACTGGCCCACGTGGTGTGGGAGCTCCTCGCGTGGTTGATCAGGCTCGCCTGTAGTGTCCAGCGGCCACTGGCCGCCCCCCCTGAATCTCACCATTCGCACGTCTCTGCGGCCTTTGGCTGCGCCCCCCTTCGGACTCATCGACAACGTCTCTGCAGCTCTTGGCTGCGCCCCCCATTCTGTTCGCCGAGGTCGATCCCGCCACCGCGTGGCAGGCGACTGGGCCCGCACCCAGCGCCTGGACTGTGGTCGCCCCCCCCCCCCCTCTCCTCCTCCTCCTCCTCCTCCTCCTCCTCCTCCTCCTCCTCCTCCTCCTCCTCCGCCTCCTCCTCCTCCTCCTCCTCCTCCTCCTCCTCCTCCTCCTCCTCCTCCTCCGCCCTCGCCCTTCATTCACCAGTTTATGCGGCTCTTGGCTGCGCCCCCACGCGAACGTGCTACAGTTGAGGATGTGTTTCCGCCTTGGTCCGGGCCAAGCGTGGTTGCCCAGGGCACTGCGGTTGTGCCCAGCGGCACCAGGATGCACCCCCCCATGTTCACTCACAAGTCTCTGCGGCTCTCGGCTGCGCCCCCACCTCTGTGAAATGACATCGTGACAGGTGAGCTGACAGCGTCGACCACCCAAGCGGGTCACACACTGGACTGGAATCTGGCTCCCGGCGACGTGCCAGCGGTCAGGTGGTTGCTCATCTCGGCCGAACGCCCTGCCTGCGCCAAGACACCACAGTGGTGACCCCCCAGGCTCTCTGGAAGGATATGAAGTGGTTACTGGCTATCACCTGGTCGCCAGCTGCATACGCTGTCGTGATGTCGCGTGGGAGTGGCATCAACCCTTTCCCGTGTTCACCGCCACAGCGGCTGGCAGTGCCACCCCCACCTGCGTATCACCCTGATCCACATGGCACGACTCATGGCACTACCAAGGACGTCGGATTGGCCTCGTGTAAGGTGGAGACGGGCGCGCATCTAATCCGATTCCGGTGCTACCTGATGACGGGCCTGGCAGGGGCGTGTTTGCTGCACGAGTGGTTCATCCTTCGGCAGGTCATGGCTGATCTTCCAGCTGGCCCGTCCGGCATGTGCCTCGTCAGCGCTTGCAACTTTGTGCCCCCGATCTTCGAGAGTCGGATAAGTTGTGTACGCACTGGACACAGGCTGGAAGTGGCGTTACCTCATGTTCGCTGACAGGTTATCCCCCGCTCCCGTGTCCAGAGCGGGCATACCCGATGTCTGCGACAATGAGTCACCGTGAGTGAGGCCTCCTCTGTGCCGCCGTTCCCTTTCTTTCTGTCGTTGGTGTCAGTGCAGATCTTGTTGCTCGGGCCGCGCGGCGACCCGCCTGCGGGTGCAGTCCCAGGGCCCTAGGACTAGGGCCAAACGGCGGCGGGCAGCGTGCACGCCGCAAACATGAAAAGTATGTGCATCATGCTTGCAATGGCGGCACGGGGCGGCAGAGGGAGTGCCCTCTTCACACTGGGTGATAACAATGCTGCCCCGATGCCGCCTCCTACAAGCGCGAAGCGCTGCACGCGGTCACCGCCTCTTCCGGCCCACAGGCCGGAACACCTCAAGCAAAAGTGCGGCCTGAGGCTCAAAATATGAAATATGAATGTCCAGACTCACTGATCCAGACTGTCATCTCGATGTGCGTGTGCATGTCACCGTAGCCATCACCAGGTCCATGCAGCGGCTGCAACAGGACCTCACGGGCTCGCAGGCCCTGAAACGGCGGCCCGACGCTGGGCCTTCCGCTCCTTGGCTCTCTCACGCTGTCCGCGGCGCAGCCGCAGACGGTGTGCCTCCTCATCCTCCTGTTCAGCAGTCGGCGCCATGCTGAACAGTCCGTGGCGGAGACACTGCAATAGCAACTCGTTAGGCTGCACGGCCTTCGTCAGCACGTCCGCCAGCGTGTGGCTATTGGGCAGCCACTTGAACTTGATGGCCTCCTGCTCGATCAAATCCTTGGCCACCAACAAGTCGATGAGGGTCTGCCGAGACACCGGCATCGAACCGATCTTGGACGTGTGATCGTAGAGTCGTAGAGCGACTTCGCATCCGTCACAAGCGCCCCCGGAACCTTCAGCACCAGCCTCCAGTCCCCTTGCAAGGGCGGCTCCCCGTGCAAGACTGCCTCGATAAGCAGCCTGAGGTAGCGCTGCCGATCCAAAGCAACGGACATAGCTGCAGACCCTGCGGCCATCGTAGATCCAACAACTCGTGTAATAGTACTGCTCTGGAACTCCACTGGACAACACACCGCTGACTCCTTCAACACGCGCGTGTCCGCAATCATACTCATGAACCCCATCTGGCTCTCACAGCCGGGCTCCTTCGCGAACGAAGCGCCCATGAGCGCGAGCACCTGCAAGCGCTCGATGTCCACGCGGCGGATCCGGAGAGTCGCAAGACCTCTCTTGTCGTAGTCCTGAAGTCGGTCGATGATGTCATTGAGCACTCGCAGGCGCAATAACCTCCGACCTTTCGGATCATTCTGTGCGAGCGCCAACGCGCTGTACGCGAGCTGTGGCACCACGCGTGCGACAGGCCAGCGCACCTTCTGGAGCAAGCTCCGGAAGTCGTGGTGCTCTTCGGGAGTCATCTCCCGCTCCTCGCCCCCCCCCCTTGCAAGGGGGTGCTTTGTCAGCTTGCCGATGTACTCGTGCATGCTGATCTCGATGTGATCGGGGTGGCGCCACCACTCCTCCCCGAGATAGGCGACTGCCTCCTTGTCATTGCCCTCCTTCCAGTGCTTGATGTTGAAACGCCGGTTGATATTCGCCTTCGCCTTCTGGTGCCGGGGGTCGCGCGGGCCCCCAAACAGCATGCCGTCGTCGACGTGCAACGTCAACATAGCAATCAACTTGCCGGTCACCCGGTAAACGAAGACGGCCCGAGCACAGCGCAGCTCCACAAAACCGACCTCGTCCGTCAGCACCTGGCGGGCTCGGAGATACCACAACCGAGGCGCCCCCGTCAAACCGCGCGCCCCTTTCAGCAGACGAAGCAACGCATAAGGCCGCGCAGCTGGCCATCCAGCGCCGTCGACGGCCGGAAGCCCGTCCTTAGGAGCCCTCACGTACAGCTCCCGCTCCAGCTTCAGCCCGGACAGGTACGCAGTCGCTACGTCGAAGCACTCGCATGTCCAATCCATCGCCACTGCGATAGACGCACACACCAGCACGGCCAAAGGGGAGGTAGTAGGCGAATCCGTCCTGAATAGACCAAGCTGCGGGTCGAGATGGCCAAGGATAATCAAGCGCGACTTCGCCTCCAACTCCGGCCCTCGCCCCCGGTTCGTGCGAACCGAACGCATGGGCACCGAGATGATCTTATCCTTCGGAATGCTCCTCTCCTCCTCCTCGGTGACCAGCTCGACCGTGTCGTTGTTGGCGACCCATTGCCGCCACTCGGCGGCATCGGCCTCGTCGAACTTAGCCTTCTCGTGTTGGTCGAAGTGACGTGGGTCTAGCTCCTTCGCGTTCTGCTTCATCACGAGTGCGAACACGTCGTGCTCGTACCGTGCCTCCTGCAGCCATGCGTCATACACGGATGACACGTTGATCCACTCCTCGCAAGTCAGCGGCTGCCGTACAAGACCCTCCGGAAAGTCCAAATAGTACACCCCCTGTGCCTGAGCATCCGGCTTGTCGTGGTAGAAGAGCGTGAGACCAACCCAGCTGTCCTCCATGCGCTCGTTGGCACGGCTCGCGCCGTCGTCCTTGTAGGCACACTGGCCCATGGCGGAGAGCATTACCGACAG